TCTCACTCTGTTACCTAGATTGGAGTTCAGTAGTTCGATCATGGCTCACTGCAGCCTCTAGCTCCTGGGCTTATGTGATCCTCCTATTTCAGCCTCCTGAGTATGTGGGATTACAGGTGCGTGCCGCCACAGCTCAACTAATTTTTTTTTTTTTGAGATGGAGTGTTGCTCTGTCGCCAGGCTGGAGCATAGTGGTGCAGCCTTGACTCACTGCAACCTCCCCCTCCCGGGTTCAAGCGATTCTTCCACCTCAGCCTCCTGAATAGCTGGGACTACAGGCATGTGCCAAACACCCGGCCAATTTTTGTGTTTTTGGGAGAGACGGGGTTTCACCATGTTGGCCAGGATGGTCTCGATCTCTTGACCTCATGATCCACCCGCCTCGGCCTCCCAAAGGGCTGGGATTATAGGCGTGAGCCACTGTGCCTGGCCATCCCAACTAATCTTTATATTTTTTGTAGAGAGGGGAATTTTGCCATTTTCCCTAGTGTGTTTTAAACAAAGGAATGTACTCTTGAATCCCTTGACCGAGGATGGGTAGTGGCTCTAGCCTCAGGCAGCAGAGATTGCTTGCTGGTCGTAATAGAGAAGACCAGTAAAGTAGTTGAATTATGACTGTTTAGAATAATCTATTTCACACATCATCCTTGATGTTATTACCTTGTAAGAATGGCTTTGGAGATAGATAAGTAAATTGAAGCCTGAAGAGATTGTTATGCTGTATGTAGGGTTATGTTTAACAATGTGGTAAAGTTTGGAGGTATTCTTGTGACATATGCTATTTTCTCCCCCTGGTTATGAGATTTGGGGAGCCCCCAGGGATCTCCAAATATGGACAAATACTGGGATACGTCATTATGAGGTTTGCACCCCCCTTTCCTGAGGTTTACCAAAGAATTGGTAAATTGGATCAAATATACTCCCTAATTTAACCATTTACAGTTGGGAGGAGCTGTGATCTTTTGACTCATTAGGTCACATAGTCATCTTGAAAACATCATTGCTCTTCAGCATGTTGGTCTTATTAAAGTATGAAAAATAGCTAACATAATTCTCGTGTGATCCAATTTGCTTTTTCATTTTTTTGGATTGTGTGTTTTTCATGTTTTGAAAATAAAAGGGAATAGGAGGGGAGAAAGTAGGGATCATTGCTGAACCCTGATGGTTAAAGGTAAGTGAATGTTTAATCTCTCAGTCACTTGATCATTGATGTTGTCTTGCCAATATCTGAAAGTAAACAGAAGAAATTTTCAGTTGTGTGTAACGTGTATGTAAAATTCAAGATGCTGACTTGAGGGTTTTCCCTTCTCTATTCTAAACAATAGGTGCGTTCCATGGATGAACTGAATCATGATTTTCAAGCACTTGCTCTGGAGGGAAGAGCGATGGGAGAGGTAAGTGAACCCTTGTGTCAGAAAAGTGGGTCTGTTTTTAAGGGAAGGTTGGAGTTGTCTTTCATTAAATGTGTCCAAATCTAGTCTCCAGAAATATGTGCTTGCTTTTCCTTGTTGCCATTCTCATGATAGTAATGGGATGCTGGAGAATTTTGCCAAAACTATGTCATAAGAAGAATGTTAACCTTAACCTAATGTCTTAAAAGCAAAACAAAAGTAGTCAAAATGTGAGCACAAATTATTGGATATTAACATCAGCTGTAAATTGAGGCATTAAAAGTTTAAAAAGTATTTTAATTTTATATGTGTTAAATGTCCTTACTTTTGCCTCATTTTCCAGTGGCTAGCTTTTTTCCCCCCCTGCTAATGGCAAAGGGAGTCTTAGATTGGCTGCTAATCAGAAAATGTCAGTAACTTATTTTTAGAGTATTGCCTTTTTTGAGGAAGTTGTTTAGAGTTCCATTGTGAAAGGGAAGTTGTTAGGTTTTTGGTGGAGGAATTACAGAAGGTAGAGACTTGAGCCAGTCATCCCTTACAGGAAATTCAGAAATTAGAGTTTTGCTTTGATTGTAATGTTTAAAATTTGCAGAAACGAAATGTACTTTTATCCATTACATCAATAGGGAGGGTTGCCATAAGTCTAAGAAGGAAGGGGAGTATAGACATCTAATGAGTAGCCAACTGCTGGTTATTCTGGTTGTGACAATAAGCGTGTATTGATGAGAGAGGTAGAATATACAGTTTGAATTAACTGCTTAAAATACCACAGGCTCACAAATGACATTTGTTGTGGTCTTGTTCTGGAAAGTAACATTAGGTTTTCTCTTTTCATTTTTTGTGTATCTTAGTATTTGACAGCTCCTATACCAATTTTAATGTTTTATAAGAGGGAGAATTACTTAATTCTAGGGTCCTCATTTATACCATTCATTAGATACATTTGTTCTTTGATTTAGCAAATGTTTGATCCTCAGGCACTGTGCTAGGTTCTGAAGTCTAAATTAGGATAATTACTCTTCTGAGTTTGTAGCAAATTTTCCTTGATTTCCTTTGTGGTTTGCAGTGAATAGTTAAAAATTGTTGATATTTTGATTGATTGATTGATTCATTCATTGAGATGGAGTTTTGTTCTTGTTGCACAGGCTGGAGTGCAGTGGTGTGATTTTGGCTCACTGCAACCTCTGCCTCCCAGGTTCAAGCGATTCTCCTGCCTCAGCCTCCCGAGTAGCTGGGATTACAGGCATGCACTACTGCGCCCGGCTAATTTTGTATTTTTAATAGAGACAGGTTTCTCCATGTTGGTCAGACTGGTCTTGAACTCCAGAATTCAGGTGATCCATCCACCTTGGCCTCCCAAAGTGCTAGGATTACAGGCATAAGCCACCGTGTCCGGCCAGTTGTTGATGTTTTAACTGAGATTCTTGCTTTCTTTGTTGTAAGATTTTGTTTCCGACTTTCTGAGTCTTAACGACCACGGAGTCCAGTGTGCTGTCATCTTGAGTTCATGCATTTTTGGTCTGTTTTTCCCCTAGAGCTTTAGGAGACGATTGGGAGATATCCTTGTGTTTCCTGGATCTGCCTAATGTCACTGGCACGATGCAAATCAATAAGCCCTGTATGGTTTAGAAAGACTTTGTCGCTTAATTTTTGGAGCAAATTTGAACAGAAAGTTAACATATATGTTGGATATTAAGTATAGAAAGAGAAACTATGTTTATTGTCTTTCCTACTCCTATAATTCTAACATGGTGTACTCCAATTCCAGGTTGTTTTTCTTTCTTTTTTGAATTTTTTATAAAAATAGAGACAGCGTCTTGCTGTGGTGTCCAGGCTGGTCTTGGGCTTGAGTGATCCTTCTGCCTTGGCCTCCCAAAGTGCTGGGATTATACAAGCGTGAGCCACTGTGCCCAGCCTGCTTTTCTTTTTAAAAAATCAGGCCGGTGTGGTGGCTCACACCTGTAATCCCAGCACTTGGGGTGGCCGAGGTGGGTGGATCATGAGGTCCAGAGATTGAGACCATCCTGGCCAACATGATGAAACCCCGTCTCTACTAAAAATACAAAAATTAGCCGGGTGTTTGGCACGCACCTGTAGTCCCAGCT